AGCGTCTTGGTCACATTTATCAATTTACAGAAAATAATAAATAAAAAGCCAAATGCATTCATGATATCATGAAATCCCCTAACCATTGTGTTTTCTTGAAAATGTTTAATGTGCAGAAATACAATATTTTCCACGGGGATCCACTTCTAATTTTAAGTTTTCTCTGGTTGATAAAGAGCCCTTTTCTCGCAAAACGTAAAAAGACCAAAACGCAGATAATCCTGTGAAGAAATTTGATACTCACGTTCATAACAATATATTATTATTAAGGAAAATATTTTGTATCATAGGAGCCTATATTAAGTTAAAGGATATCGAAGTAACAGCTCCATACAGCGTGTTCTTGATACTTTCTGAGATTTTTTTGTCATTTGGCATTACCGAAACAATTTGTAGGTTTGAAAGATAAGCGGTTTTGGTAGGACGTTTTTATAAATAATGAGCAGCGGTGTCTAAAGATATCTACTGCCGGCTTCTTGTCTAACTTAAAGCTGAACAAACGATAAAAAAGGACTCAGGCGATATAGTTTCACCTCACAATTTTATCCAGTGTAAAAACGTCCATTTCCAATGGCTCGCTATTGTTTCAAAACCATTGCTTTATAAGGGTGATAACCCTTATAACTGCCTCTGGGCACCAACTCGTTTCCTTTAAGTGCGGCCACGGGGACGGTTCTCTGCGACAGCGAACTGCCAATAAGTGCCACGTCTCAGTATCTGTATCTGCACGCACACTCTATCAAATTAGCCGCGAACGGATTACCACTCTACGAAGGCGCGTCTGCTGACTGAGCTAAACTGGACGCCTGAGAGGTTTCTCCAGATACTTAAAAGGTTTAAACCTTTTAAGTCACCCGTGCTGAAAAGGTAAAACCTTTTCAGCACGGGTGACGCAGATACGGGGCTGCCATAGGCAGCAACACGTTGAATCGTGACAGGACAAGCTTCCCCCGTTCGACAATCCCCTCGACGTATTCATCTTGCACAGAGGTCACACTTAGTTGACATGGCGAAGACAATGCTACAACAGGGCGTGATTAAACCAGCATGTTTCCACTGGTCCTCACCAGCTACACTAGTCGGAAAAAAGGACGGTTCAACCAGATTTTGCGTAGAATATACAGGACTTAACGAATGTCACTAAGTAAGGCTCTTTCCCTCTTCCTCGAACTGCCTACACATTGGACGCCCTCGCCGGGTGCACGTGGTTCTCCACACTTAACCTTAAAAGCGGATATTGGCAGGTCCTAGTGCGCCCAGAAGACTGCGAGAAGATTGCTTTCACCACAAGTAACGGCTCCGGTTAGTTCAGTATGATGCCATTTGGACTCTGCAGTGCTCCGGCTACATTTCAGAGATTAATGGAATCCTTATTGACCGACCTCACAGGCACCATTTGCCTGGCTGACCTTAACGACATCACCGTCTTTAGCAAGACATTTTCAAACCATCGGGCGAATCTCAACTTGGTTTTCTCACGGCTGCGAAACGCGAACCTGAAGCTCACACAAAAAAAAAATGTTTGTTGTAAACAAAACAAGTAGAATACCTCGACCAGATTATTTTGGCAGATGGAGTTTCTACAGATCCTCGGAAGCTCTCTGCTCTAGCTGAATGGCCAACCCCAAGATCCACCACGGACGTGCAAAGTTTCATTACGTTGGCATCGTAATATCGAAAAATTTGTCCCCAGTTTCGCTCACCTTGCCAAGCCTCTGTATGCCATGACTGAGAAAAAGGCCAGGATTGTCTGGTTTTTGGAATGTCTGCGTGCGCTTGAGACACACAAAACAGCACTCACGTCTCCGCCAACACTTGCGAATTTGAAGGACACCGCACGCTTCATACTCGACACCGATGCCAGCGCTTCGGTTGTTGGTGCTGTGCTATCGCAAGAACAGGGCGGTCGAGAACGCGTCATTGCCTATTACAGCAAGGTCCTTACAAAGCCCGAACGCAATTACTGTACCACCCGACGCGAATCGCTGGCCATCCTAAAAGCCATCACTAATTTTCACCATTAGCTACTTGTATGGAAGTTTTTTATTCGTACCAACCACGCATGATTAACATGAATGCTGAGTTTCAAGACCCCTGGTGGTCAGATGGCCCGCTCGCTGGAACGCCTGCATCAATACGACTTCGACATCCAGCATCGTGCCGGCTCACTTCACACCGATGCCGATGGTCTCTACCGTCGCCCATGCAGTGCAAAGTACAAGCAGTGCTTGAAAATTGCAAAACGCAGCTTCGACTCGCTCAACGCACTGAACAACCTCCCCTGCGACAATCAAGAGTGGATTAAAAAAATCCTTTTCTGATGCTCAACTTTACGACCTGGATATCAGCCCATTCGTAAGATAGAAGAGACAGAATAGCAAGCCCCCAACTAATGAAGTGTCCAGGTTGTCTTCGGCCCTCAAGAACTATTTGGCGCAATGGGACTCCTTGTTTCAACGGGACAGTGTTTCTTACCGACGCTGGGAGTCCGCTGCAGGTAACTCTGCTATCTGGCAGCTGGTGCTGCCATGGAGGTTTTGCTTTTAAGTATTTCATCAACTCCACACTAGCCCTGAAGGAGGGCACTTCGGCGTGAAACACGGTCAAAAGGATTCGGCAAAACGTCTACTGGCTGCAGTGCTACAGTGGCGTGAAGCAATGGTGCCGTCAATGTGACATGTGTGCCTTGCGTAAGGGCCTCACGTAAAAGAACGAGCACCACTTGAAAAACATGTGACGGGGGCACCTTTTGAACGCGTTGGCACTTATGTACTGGGCAGTTTCCTCTATCTAAATTTGGCAACAGGTTCCTTCTAGTCATTGTTGACTATTTCATCAGGTGCCCGGAAGTCATTCCTATACCAAACCAAACCGCGTCCAAAGATCGCCGACGCTCCGGGGAAGAATTGGATTACCCGGTATGGAATCCCCCTGAGCATCCACTCGGACCAAGGAAGGAACTTCGAGAGTTCAAAGAAGTTTGCGAAATTTTCACTATCACAAAGACAAGAGCGACGCCCCTCCACCCGCAGTCAAACGGCTTGGTGGCAAGGATGAAGCGCACCATTCTACAGCATCTATCCATGTTTGTCCATGATCACCAAGATGGCTGGGATAGCATCGCACCTTTAATTTTGTGTGCATACCGCACAGCTGCTCATGAGGTTACTGGCTACACGCGTGCCACTACGCTCTTCGGTCATGACCTTCGCATGCCTTGTGAGGTAACCATCCCACAAGCACCGAAACCGGGCACAGACCCTGTGCCTTACATAGGTGAATTGAGAACAAACCTCGAATGGATGCACGCATTTGCTTGGCGGCGTTTAGCAAGCGATCTGACTCGCATGACGGCACAGCACGACGCGCATGTCACAACACACCCGTTCTCGCCAGGTGACAAAGTGTGGCTCTACAACCCGATTCGAAAAAGAGGGCTGTCTCCAAAACTACAACGTTACTGGCGAGGACCTTTTACCGTCATCAAACGTCTCAGTGATGTGGTCTATCGTATACGTCGCAGCGTTCGATCGTGGGCCCTTGTAACCACCGCGACCAGCTATCTTTGTACGAAGGACTTTGTTAAGCCTCACTGAAGCTTCGAAGGACGCAGATGTAACGAGTTGACGTTCACGTCGTTACATCTGCGCCAAACAAAGCGTATGCCATGTGCAGAAAGGTTACCAACGAAAATGTCCAAGCGACAACACATGAAGCCGCCCACAAAACAAAATATGCTCCGTGAAAGACGGGTGTCGTCAAACTTATTCCCCCGTCCTGCGGCAAGTATTATATCGGCCAACAGGGAGATGCATTATTTATTTTATTTGTTTATTTTATTCCTTTATTGTCTACAGTTCCCCTAAGGGCATTACAGTAGAGGGAGTCACATTACCAAAAAGGCGAATTTTTTACACACCATAGGTTATCAAGACACATAAGTACGCAAAATATACAAAACTCGCACACGCATATATACATGCATAAAAAAGAAACAACCTTAGTCTGCATGAAAAGAAACACAAATGCGGTAATAATATTTTTACACTCAAATATATTGTTACGAGACAGTGCTAGAGTTGCGAAAAAAAACGAATCTGGACTATTGACAGAACCAGGGAGCACGCAGAGTCTTTGAAGGGCACGTCAGTAGGAACATTTGTCAGCGCATTGCAGAACGTGCGAATGCACTGGAACGTTTCAGAACATCGCAATATTTGCAACAAATAAGAACCCTTTTGCTCGTGAGATGCTCGATGCACTGGCCATTGAAGACCACGCGGATCAGTGTATCAGCTCCCCGATCTACACTAAAGAAAAACAATATCTGCGGTGTGCAACAACCAGATGACTCACAGTTTGGTTTTCGGTGGGTTATGTCAAAAGTGTGGTGTGTATAGCAATTTCGTAAGACAATGGTGTTTTAAAAGGGATTACGTATATATGTATGTGTTGTACAGAATATGTTTTTAGTATGTATATATTAATTAGTTTATGATTACGACCTCTTAAAAGAAAGAGGAAGTTTAAAAAAATACAAAATTTCTTCACTAAAGCACGTTGATACTCAGCTGGCTTTTTTTTGTCCTTTTAATTATCTCTCCTTCTACACAAGGTCAAGGGGATCAATACGAAGTATATAACAACAAGCTCAACTCCAGCCCTTAACTCGATTTTGAAGATTAAATTTGGAGATTTACCTGCCAAACCAACGACGGATATCTGACACGCCCCAGAGTAGGACTCAGGGTTACTTTCGACCACCTGGGGATCTTTCAACGTGCAACCGAAAGCTAGGTTTTACGGCGCCTTCTCCACAATAAGCCTCCGTCAGATTGCGGGCACCTTGACCGGGATTCGAACCCGCCACGTGGGCATCTGTCGGTCGGCGCTTTGTCTTGGACCCACCGAGGCGGCTAATTCGGTTTCAAAACAACATCGTGCTGTGAAATCTCGTCGTAACCTCAATCGATGAAAATACTAAGCGGCGAAAAACTCACCCGTGCTTCCCAGGGTTCCCACCGTGACGCCGTCGTCCCGTACCCATGACGTCACCTTGACGTAGTCCTTCACAGCGGGAGGCACGTAACAGCGGAGCAGGGCAGAGTTTCCTCGAATGACGTAGACGTCGTACACGTTGGCCGTGAACTTCTGAAGCACCACTGGAAAGGAAATAGACCAATAACGTCCAGAATGAGTACCTCTATCGCGAAAAAACAGTGTCTGCCATGCTAATGTCGCCAGGATATTCTACGTATGTTCATCCGCTTTCGAAAAAGTGCGCCCTCATAAGGATCCAAAAGGAAACCATCGACACTTTTTTACACGCGGGGATATTTCTTCGCCCAAAGGGTATGAATGAGGGAAAGCCAACTTAACTAACCAACAGATAGCTCACCATTCTTAAAATGTTACTGAAAGCTATCCACCAACAAGATTAAAAATTGACAGGACAGCAATCTTTACGGTTTATTCCCGTTTTTATCAAGTACCAGATTCCGGTAAACTTTCCGTTCAGTCGAAGTAATTTCCGACCGAATAAGAATTGGTAGAAGATCGCGTGAACTGACAAGTGCTCCGCAGCCCGTGACGTAAAAGTTCATTTTCCTGAATAAGGAATCACGAGCTCAAGTCTCAGTTGTACCGATTTTACACGTTTTACCAGGTCGTGTTACTGTAATCCCTACTTATTTGTTGCAAAATTAAGAGTTAGCGGTTGTACATCAATCACCAAATTTCCATTTTACAGCAGAAACAGCCTCAACCACTGTAAAATATAAAATTTTTGACTTGATAAAAATCAAATCAAATCAAGTTTATTTGACATCTATTTTTGTAAGATGTCGGGACTATAGGGACTTCAATTTATACTTTTTTGGCTTTTCCACGTTGATTCTCACTAGTAATACTAGATCTGAAAATATTCTTATTATTGTGCTTCCCTAGGTGCAGTTTTAAGTCCGAGGTAGTTTTCATTGTTTTAACACAGAATTTTTTTTTCTATTTTTTACTGATGTTTTAAGATTTTACGCTAATATTGCAGCAAGACGAACTAATACCATTTTTAGACCACCTGAGACTGGGTGGAAGAAACACGACGACGTCTCAATCTTGAGACGTCGTCTTGTTTCTTTCACCCAGTCTCAGGTGGTCTAGAAATGGTAAACTTACAGCAGCTCGCCTGCGCCCTAACTGTTTTTTCACGAACTAATAAAACGAACAAAAACCATGCCCGCGTATTCGAGACAAGCTTACAATAATTCTATACTCGGGGACAACTTTTATTGGCAATTCCGAGGAGAGGAGGAGAGAGAGCGGACAGCTTTAATCAGTGCTAAACATGGGAAAGGGAATTTGACTGTATTGACAAAAAAGTTGTCCCCGAGTAAAACTCAATCATCGAGTGGTTCAGCTCATTTTCGAAACCTTGCACCGGTTAAACAGCTCTCCGCGCACACGGACCAGTACAATCACTATCTGCCTTTAACCAGGCGGAGGCGATCGAAGTACGGCTAGATGCGTTTAAAACTTCACTCTCCGAGCTCTGGCTACAAATCAATAAATGTTTAGGAGCACGCGAACCGGAAAGCCCGGATTTCGTCAACAATCTGGACCCGTTCCCAAAGAAGCGAAGCTCTTTTGTCAGAGAAGGATTAGCTGCGATAAACGAACGATTCTTCAATGAGTGTTGATGTCAGAAAGTAGGCATATATTTATACACTAAGGTCTTTCTTTTTCGGCTCGATGATATTGATTATATTAATAACGTTAATAACTAACGCTACTTTTATCGAATAATATGGATTTTTTCATTTTTTTTTTTTTATGCTAGACAGTGATTCATTCGCTTACAATATTATGAATATGCGGCAAATTTTTGTTAATATCAAATCAAAATATTGCCGACACTTGATTAATGCATTGTTCTGATTATGAGAGCAAAACCATAATCCCCAGAGCGTTTGACGGTTTAATAATAATAATAATAATTTATTTGTATCTTGCCCCATAACAACCTAGGGTTAGAGTGTGGTGGCACATAAAAAATAAAAAAAAAACAAGAAAACATAGGAAAGTGTATACAATCTTAAACGACGTGTACTCTCTGGTAAATAAAACATTTCACAAATCAGAAACCAAAAATATGCACATCAACTGGTCATTTAAACGCAGCAAAATTTAAAAATAGGTCTACATAAGCTGGGGGTTCATTTAAACAGGTTTGCACTCGAGCCAAAGGGGACAGTCTCGTTTGACTAGATGTGCAAAACACAGTTGAGTTACTAACGACACGGGGCGGTACATGAAACATTAAGGACGACAAAAGATTGCTATCTATTTGGCTGTGAACCAATTTGTGTAGAATATAAGGTCAAGGGCATTTCTTCTTTTTGAAAGGTCCTCTAATGAAAGTTCTCTAAGAATGTATTCATGATCATAATAACAATTCCTATCATAATATCTATCGTAAATCGATAGGTATTTTGTTACGAGTTCAGAAGCATATAAATCGCTTCTGAACTCTTTCTATCCTTGCAGCGTCGGTCATTGTTAACGAATTCTAGACTGAACTACAAAACTCAAGTTTCACTCGTACTAGGGGACAAAATAATCGAACTACGCACACTATATTTGAAAACTTGTGCGTCCAACGTCATATTATGCAGATTAATCTAAAGGCCGAAGCAAAAATTTGTATACCATGATAAGAACAGGCAAGATCACTATCAAAACAAATACCAATGTCACGAACTTGTTCCACACGTTCAATAGTAGAATTACCGATAAAAATAGTGATGTGAAATTCTTTCGCGCTTCCTACACATAGACACCACTTTTGTTTTATCTGGACTGACCAGAAAAAAGTTACTTGATCACCAGTTTCAGATACGTGATACATCTTATTTCTTGCAAAAGAGCACAATCATCTTCCAACTGGATTCTCAGATAAAGCTTACTATCGTCCGCAAATAAGAGCAATTTCTCATGTTGTACGCACAATCCTATATAACTGGTGCATATAAAAAAAAGTAGCGGCCCCAAATTTGATCCCTGAGGGACTCTCGAAGTTGGAGTAAATACATCTGATAAGCTATTGAAGATGTGTCTTCAACTCTTACCATCAGACAGATATCTATAAAACAAGCTTAAAAGAGGCGGCGAAACGCACAACGCCGTATAAAAATGGCTTATACAAGAGTCCCTCGTGATTTACCTTATCAAAGGCCTTTGATAAGTCAAAATGCACAATATCATCTTGCCCACTGTAGTGATTATGTTTAGGGACGTCTTTCATTCAGAGATGGCACCACCTACATTGCGCCAATTGCACGTGTCGCGTGTTGAGCAAAACCACGGGCCGCGTGGCGGCAAGACATGATTCGGTCACCAAAAATATGATAAATAAATCTGCTCGAGGCGCTCGCCTCAGATCTGCCCTCGTCACCGTCGAGATCGGTTGCCTGTCTTCTCGTCCTCATCGGCAGGTTCTGGCCCGGAGCCGGCCGCCACCCTCCATGTAGGCGCGCATCTATGTTATAGTCCCCGTTCACAGTGAAATCCAAGGCGTGCGAGGCTTGTTTCACCCCACACGTCTCTTTTGAAAAGATGGCACCGGGGAATTACAAAACCCACGTGTAACAATAAATAGGACAGTGCAATCAAGGTGAGAACAAAAGTTCGTTTCTACTGAGCACACTTTTATAAATCTATGTGAAACGGTGCTTAGTTTTCGACAAAAGTAAAAAGAAAGACGGGCATGTAAACCTTTCTCAAAAACCGTCGAAAAAGAACACAACAAAGATACAGGGCGGTACTTATCTACCCTAGAAGCGTCACCGGTTTTGTGTATTGGCACTACCCCTGACCTTTTTCAAAGACATGAAAAAACACCATTTCTCAGAGACAGGTTAAGTATAATAATAAGTAAAGGGGCAAATGATCGGCGCATCTTTTGACAATAAAGATAGGTATAGTATCATCTCCCGCTGACTTTTTTAATTTTAATTTTTAAATTTCCTCTAAAATTTCATTTAAATCGACCTCACTAAATGTGGAAATGTCGTTACAACCGGCAGCGCGGATTGAAGGCTTGCTTTTGAATTCTTTCTTCGAATAGCATTCACGAAAGTAATTTTGGAATATATTAGCCGCATTTTCAGGAGAAGCAACGTAGTCCGTATCAGTACGTAAATAAATATTTTTTGCTGACTTTTTCTTCTGCTTTTTTTACGAATCGCCAGAATGTATCAGGTTCACGGTAGAGAGAATTTCCTTCCGATTTTTTTTTTTATCAATGCATTTGACATGTTTATACAGTCTCTTTACAATGGCTCTGCAAACACTTAACTTTATGTACCATAACTCAATGCCGGTTCTTTTGAACAATTCATGGTAGCGTTCTTTTTTACGCATGTAGTGTTTCAACTCCCTCGAGAACCAAAACTGGTATTTAGCAAGCTTAGGCAATCGCTTGGGAATGAACGCATCGATTGCATTTTTCACTATCTTCGTCAAGGGTTCAGTCGCGGAATCTACACAATTATCATGAAGCACCTTTGACCAGTTATTGTTACGAAGGAACGTCTATCTACCTATGATAGCCATATCTGATTAAATTTTGTCTGTCACGAGACCTCACCGCCAAAGAAAAACATACGATGAAGGGCGGGTCAAAAACGTCAGTTTGCACAAGGGTATCGCTAACTGACGCGACACTGTCTATGGGGCAGTTTAAAAAGAAAAAAAAAGATCAAGAACATTTCTGGCCGTGTTTCTGAAATGATTATGCTGAGTTAGATTGTAAAATCAATGAAATCTACTAGACGTGACACTTTTACTACCGTTTGATCATTTTCACTACTACTTATACCGGTCGACAAGTTCACTCCTGGTAGATCAAAATCTCTGTACACATGTGCTTTGAATTTTGAAAAAGCAATTTGCTGTTCAAGAGTTTGTAAGTGTTTTACAAACACATTCGAACCCAAGAGCGAAAAAAAATAAACGTTTCCGACGAGATAATCAAACCCATCACGTGATAATAATTCAACCGATACGCACTCTGCATAGGTTTTTAAATGTAAACTTTTGTATGATTTATTGTTATCCCGCACGGCTGTCAACAACCCTCCTCGCCCCCCCTCCCCCCACCACCCCACCC